GACTTGTCCTAGCAGCAAAAGCAAAGTGGAACTATTAACGTTACTCATGGTTCTGTTTAGAGTTGCACCAATAGACGATGATCTCGTTGATCGACTATGTTCAGAGCAATCGCTGATGGCTTATGTCCTTACCTATGTCAAGACGATATTTAGCTTGTTTTCCCATTAATGTATTGACTTAGTAGTAGTATTGATATTAAATTTAATTAACCCCACCATAGTTAACTAAACAGACACCACTTCCGTCAGATTGAGCTGATGTATGAAGGGTGTGTTGAAGAAACCTGTTTAGTGACTGCCTATCCGTCTCCTGGTCGTGCCGCTTTGCTCTATACAACATCAGAGGAATCAGGCCTTACCTGACTCAGTACACCACCCAGCTCTTGGTCCAGGCCATAGTTATCGCTCATCTCGACTACTGCAATGCTCTTCTGGTGAGTCTCCCTTCACACACAGTGAAACCCTTAAAGATGATCCAGAATGCAGCAGCTTGTCTGGTCTTAGATCAGTCCGAAAAATCAAATCAAAATCAAGGCACTAATGCTGCCTTCAGAGAGACTTCTGGGTCTGCTTCATCTACTTGAACTCAATCATTCAGCCTTATGCTCCTTCTCTTCCTCTTCCACTGTGTTCCTCTAAAGGAATGTGGTCTGACATCACCAACCCTGCACACAAGACGGTCTCAGTCCAGACTGTTCTGGTCTGTGTTGTTCTGATGGTGGTGACAACATCTTTAAACCCAAAGATGAAGACTTAAAGGTGNACAGTTTCAGTGCTGAGTTATAGGGGCAGGCTTGTTCTGGTTTGACATGCTTTTCCTTACTGTCTGCACCTGTTCACAGGTCAATCCCAAACATAAATCAACAGACGGCCACTAACGTCTCTGGAACACAACTTCTTATTGAACGCACCTCAGGAAGCAAAGTTTTTATCCACATGTACTGTCCACTCTGGCTGTTTCATCAGCCGTATGTTATTCTCAGCTCCAGTAGGAGCCTGTGAACAGTGTCGTGTTAACGTTGGCTCACGGAGCAGAGAAACTCCAGACGCCTGAAGAACACATGAGACCGTCTGCTGTAAGACCTGTTTGGCTGCTGCTGGACTTTGGCTAATCCTGCTGTTGTGGCAGCTGTAAGACCACACTGTAACTTTTGTTCCCACATACAGCAAAGTGGCAGCTGGAGGAGACAGTGTGTGTGTGTGTGTGAGTGACGTACAGTAAATGTGTGTTTTTCAGAGGTGTTAGTCCTCTTGTAGGATGTGTAAGCTTGGCCCCCACAGAGAACCAGCACGGACAGTGATCAGACCAGATGGTCATGTGACTTAGTCCACACACACACACACACACGCACACACCTGCTGCAGCTCTATCATACATGGATCCTAAAATGTGTTTTACATTATTGCCACAAATGTTCAGATGAAACTTAAAGACAGATGTTCAACAGCCAGTGGTTTCACTTCACTTCACTTTACTTTGAAAGTCAGCTTGAAACCTGTTTAAGGACAGTTCATCAGTAATGATGAATAATAATGTGCATGTGATGTGTAGGTATTAAACCACTTAAAGAGCTCTGGTTCCACTGCTCTTCTAATTCTGATTTGAAACTTTAAAACCCGGAGTCAGATCTGAATGATGTGTCCTCCATTTCAGAGTTGCCCTCACCTCTGTATGAGTTGTCCCAGCTGCTGCCACAGTGTTCACACACACTTCATTTTCCTCATTGCCAAAAAGTGGTTGTGCTCATAACTGGTAACACCTTGGAGACAGGAAAAGAGCAGTATCCAATCAGAGTGCAGGGGCCGCTGGAGGCAGGAGGTCCAGGGGGAGGAGGGATGGTATAAATATGCACTGAGGTAGACGCAGTGAAATGTCAGGTGCCACCTGCAGTGATAGAACAGCACAAACTTCAGCTCCCTGCCATCTGTTGGCTTTTACTGTCGACTGACTGATGATATTTAATGATTATTTTTCCTCTAAGAGTCTGTTTTTATTTAGTTATTTATTAGTTGATTAGTTCTTTTAGTTAACTATGTTGCTCTCTAGATAGTTCCAGTTTTTCATCTGATGTTATTGATGATGTTGATTAACGGTTAATTCATCTTTCTTTTCTCCTGCCACAGAGACGTCTCAGTACCTCACATCTCACCTCTCAGTTGTGTAGTTTGTGCACCGTCACATTAACATAACAGTCTGTGGTGTGAGCAGGACAGCAGCTGCATGTGGCTTCAGTCACATGACAAACACGTATCATCAGTGACGTCTCTGTTCTTTTTGATTTTATTTTGTACTATTGTCTTTCTAATGTCTTCTCTTTGTCGTGTGTGTGTGTTTACACTCCAGTATCAGCAGCACCCTGATGGACATGGAGAGCACGGCGTCCAGCGGTCGCTCCACCCCGGCCATGCTCAACGGTCACAGCGGGGGCGCGGTGTCTGGGGGAGGCTCGGCGCCGGCGGGGGGGAAGTCTCTGAGCTATACGTGCTGCTGGGATCACTGCCAGCTGCTGTTCCCCAGCAGCCCCGACCTGGCCGAGCACATCAGAGCCACACATGTGGACGGACAGAGAGGAGGGGTCAGTTTCCGACTGTTGGGTTACTGTGTGGGTGTGCTGTTCCCAAGGGTGCCTTAACGGAATTAGCTTTATTTAGAATGTAAACTCAGGTGGCATCAAATAACCGCAGATGCAGGTGTGAAGAAAGCAGCAGTTAGATCTGATCCAACAACAACGAGTCCAGTAGGAGTAAATGGACAGTGAACATCTGACTGGTAAACCCCAGTTAGACTGCAGGTCAGAGGAGGGAGCTCAGTGGTAAAACTAGGTTCTTCTTCCACTATATCTTACATGTGTTCCATTTAAAAAAAAAAACTTAAAGTGTCATGGAGAAGAAATCTACCATATTGACCCCTAATAATAAGACGTAACAGGAAGTTCATGCTTCCATTAAAGCATCATGTAAATCACACGTTTGTGTAGCTCATCTATCAGGCCCTGTTCAGACCATTAGTTAACGTGTCTCAGCCGATCCAGTCACAAGTGGACAAGTCGGTTCACACCTCCCCATGTCTCTAGTGACCTCTACTGATCCGATATCACTTCCCTGCTCTAGATTCAAATAAACATGTATGTGTTGTTGCTTTTAGTCAGTTTGTTAGAGAGAGAGAGACAGGGGACAGGGCAAGGAATCAATGCACAGCTCTACAGTGAAATAAGGTTTTAGCCATTTGAAATAGTTCATGAAACTGTGGCAGGACTAATTAAACTGTGGGAGACGATGTCGGGCCTCTTGTGACTGGATCACCTGAGACGCATGTTAATACCAGGTCTGGCAGGTGTTCTCCATTGTTCTTCTTTAAAGGATTTCAGTAGTGAAATGTTGGTTACTGTTGTAGTCCTTGTAATATGACATCACATCTGCCTCCTCCCCTGAAAGTACCTAGAACTTGTATTTATTATCCCGCCCTGATCAGGTCCCAGATTTATTTCCCAGGCTCAGAGGAGAACTCCAGACCAAAGGCCACTTGTCTGAACAATATACATCAAGGTTTTTTCAAAGTTATATAATCACCTCCACCAAGGAGGTTATTTTTACACCTGTGTGCCCGCTTGTCAGCAGATTACACAAAAAGTACAGAACCATTTTGTACTAAACTTAGTGCAGGGAGGCGTCATGGGTCAGGCACTGATCTGGTTAAAGGGGCAGATCCAGGAATGCTTTTTTTAACACTTATCTTATCATTGTATTTTTCAGCTTTATTTTTTTTTCCTACCAGAGGTGAGCCAAGACCCGCCCCTACCTTGCCTGTGATTGGTTAGGTTTAGGCATGATTGGTTCGGGAAAAAATATCCAGCTAAGCCAATCAGAGGCAGGGTAGGGCGGGCCTTCATGCACCTCGGGTGGTTTTTGATTTGATGTAAAAAAAAAAAAAAAAAAAAAATCACATGGTTTGTTTATAAGAGCCTGACAGAGGTGTGTAGGATTGTTTTACCTTGATGGAGCTCTGTACATTGAGTGCTATTCTACTGCAGCCACCTGCCCTTCTGTGTATTGATTGTTTGTGTGTGTCACACAGGTGTTTGTGTGTCTGTGGAAGGGCTGCAAAGTGTACAACACACCATCAACCAGTCAGAGCTGGCTGCAGAGACACATGCTGACCCACAGCGGCGACAAACCATTCAAGGTGATGAAACACACACACACACACACACACACACACACCTTATCCACTCCACCACACGTACATTAGATCAGCCAGTCATGAGCCAGACTGAAGAAACACACACCTGTAATACTGCCCACCTGGAATCACAGTCTGTGTGACCTCTGTTAACTCACACGATCAATCATTTGTGTTCCTGTAGTGTGTGGTGGGGGGCTGCAACGCCACGTTTGCCTCTCAGGGGGGGCTGGCACGTCACGTCCCCACTCACTTCAGCTCGCAGAGTTCATCCAAGGTATCCAGTCAGGGCAAAGTGAAGGAGGAGTCTCCGTCCAAGGCCGGCCTCAACAAGAGGAGGAAACTCAAGAACAAGCACAGACGCTCACTCCGTATGGATCACACACGCAAACACACAATGTATAATGCCGTACTTTGACACAGAGACTTTATTTTTCCTGTTTTTATTTCCAGCCCGACCTCATGACTTCTTCGATGCTCAGACCATGGACGCCATCCGCCATCGAGCCATCTGCCTCAACCTGGCAACACACATCGAGAGCCTGGGCAATGGACACAGTGTGGTCTTCCACAGCACGGTGGGCTCACACACATACACATATTATAATGCTACCATATTATCCACCGAGCATCACTGATGTGTGTATTTTTGAGCAGTTTTGGATGAACTCATTCATTCACTGTCAGCTGTGTTGTAACAGCTGCCTGGTTGATTAGGAGCTGAATCACCACGTTTTTCTAAAACGCTTTTCTAAAAGCAGCAGATGAGTGAGAGCTGACCATGATTTCATGTGCGTGTGTTTTCAGGTAATAGCCAGGAGGAGAGAGGACTCTGGGAAAGTCAAGGTCCTGTTGCACTGGACACCTGAAGACATGTAAGACCTGCTCTTCTCTCCTCCTCCTCCTCCTCCTCCTCTTCCTCCTCATCACACTCTCCCTGTTTTAACCTGTCCTCCTGCTCTTCTCTCCTAAGCCTCTTTTGACAGTAAAACCAAATACTGGATTAGATTCATAGTCAATAAGAAAGGTTTAACTTCTTAGAGAGACAAATATACATAAAAACACATCTTTTAAAGCCCTGAAGGTAGTTTATGCTATGTTGGTTGTGTAGCTGATTATTACCAAGTATGTAATTGGTGTGGTTTAACACCTGTACACACAAGAGCAACACTACACATGTTGCAACTGCACCCCAAGTTCTCTCAGAAGGTGGACCAGAGTCTCCTCATCTCAGTTAAAGGTCCCATATAGTGTAAAGGTAGGTTTCACTGTTCTCAGTCACGCCACAAGCCCCGCCCACCAGGACCCACCACCCAACCTTGCAGGATTGAGTTTCTCTGAGTGTTTGCCTGAAATGTGCTTTATTATTGTTGGCTCACTCAGAAAACAGTCAGCCAATCAGAAGAGAGGCTCAGAGCATCCTCTCTTCTGATTGGCTCACCGATTGTTGTTAGAGCTCCGGAGAGAAGCCTGAGAGAGGAGATGTAAAACTACATTGAGATGGTTTTTGGTTCTTAAAACCACAAGTATATCTTCTTATGGATCAACACACAACAAATAAAAATATGGGACCCTTAACTGCTGCTTTTAAAAGGTTGAAGAGGATGATGACATAATGTGATTGCTTTTGAGAGCTCACCCCCAACTCCAGATCTGAAACCTCTGCTCGTGTGTCAGACTGCCAGATGTGTGGGTGAATGAGAGTGACAGACTGCAGCAGAAGACCAAGGTGGTTCATCTGTCGAAGCTGCCCACAGACACAGCTGTACTCCTCGACCCCAACATTTACAGGTGTGTGTGTGTGTGTGTGTGTGTGTGTGTGTGTGTGTGTGTGTGTGTGTGTGTGTGTGAGCTCATCTTCAGTACACTAAAGCATGAGAGTTTGGGACACTGATGAATTTTCTCACCCACTTTCTCCCACAGGATGTTCTTCTAACACCTCAAGAGAAGCTCCACTGTCACTTCCTGCTAATCAGACCCTGAGACGGAGGCTGTCTCCTCGTCTCTTCGTCTACACTCCACGCCCCCCTCCCCCAACCCCCTTCCTTCTCCCAGAGGATGCTGGGAGTGTAGTGACTTGTTTGTTGTGGCTGCTTGAGGCCTCCAGTGTTTTCTCATTAGGTGCTGAGTTTACTGAGGACACGTTAGAGCAACTTGTTGCTTGTTGTAGACTGAGAACTAACTGACAGAGCTGTAACAGTAGACAGTTAGACATGTGTAGAGAGAAGCTGTCTTTGTAAATACTTGAGATTTGTAATATATTTTTATACTTTGAATTTTTTTACTGTACTGTAGATAGATGTCTTTTTTTCCACCCAAACATTTTTAAATAGACGTTTTAAAAACTGATAATATTGGTCATGTGTATATAGCTGGCATTGCTCTGGTTTGATGTCATTAAACCTTTCCAACCTCCACCTGTTCTTGAGTCATCACCTTCCAGCCTTCACAGGTGTGTGTTTGTCTCCAGGGAACATGAATCATTGTGCTGCATTTAGCTAAACCAGCTGTTTATAGAAGCCTTCTTAGAGTGAGGTTAGTAACAGAAATGATTTGTTTTTACATATGAGAGCGGATAATCTTCACTTATGGTCTCATTAGTTTATGTGTAAAAGACAAGGAGAAAGATAAAAGGTGTATGTGCAGGAGCTCATCCGTCATCTCACCAAGGGGGTAGGTTTGCATATGGACAGTAGGGAAATGTCCCTACCAATATTTGAGTGAAGTTGTTCGCACTGTTTGGAGTGAAGTCATGTTTGTTAATTCCAATGTGCCCTGGAAGAGGATACGTCTCCTAGACAACCGCTTTAGGTCTGCTAGTATTTGATTGACTGACAGGATGAAAGCTATCTGAAGGCTCACGTCGTAAAAATATCACAGTGATACCTGACGTCACCAGAAAAATGTCAACTGATGTTATTTAATCATGTTAGCTAGCGTTAACTACAATGCTAACCCCGACTTCTGTCTGTCTCTGTAGGCTAACAGTCAGGTTGCTAGCAGGAGTGAACATAAATGGTGGATATATCAAAGTATGAGTATAATTTCTGTTGAAAAAACACAAGAAAATGTCACCATGAATATTTTGACAATTTTATGCCTTACTAGTTTTTACTCATTTTAACCACCACAGTAAGTAATATATATATATAAAAAGGTACACAACATTGAAAATGGTCATTATGATTTTAATCTGGAATGTGTTTTTTTTATGGTTTTTATCAATTGTTCCTACCAAATGTACTTACTGCAACATTCATTTAATACAATTTCCTCCTCCTTTTAAATAGATATTCATGAACCTTTGTATATCATTGTAACCACTGATATAAAAAGATAACATAAAATATAGGATTTCATGGTTTTCTCTACGCCACAGAAAATTTTGACAGTAACCTTGGAAATTGTCTAAAGATACAGAAAAGATAAAATACATTGTTAAACAAATGTGACATGTTTATGTGAATTTACAATATAATTTACACTTGACTTAATACTTGTACAATCTAATATGATACAACAGCTTTTCCATAAATGTGGCCTTCACAAATATAACAATGATCTGTTTGTATTGTCACTATCAGAGAGCTATAACTGCATCTTTATTACTGAGGTTGTATTTAGCAATAGTGCTGAATTGGACTGCATGATAGTGAGAGGTGTCCCTAATATTTTGTGAGTCCCATTTACATATGTGAGAAAGGCAGATTATTATAAACACCCCAGTACAACACCACAGCCCACCATGACCTCAAAAATAAACAAAGTAGAATTATAACCTCTCTGGCAGTGTCAAGAAAAAACTGAAAAGTTATAAGCTTTATAAAAATATAATTCATAGCAGAGCTTTCATCTTGTATCATATTAAGTGTCACTACTGCAACACCTAGAACTGTTGCGGTAAAGATCTGTTGCGGAAATGACATTTTTGCTAATTTTGCACCTGTGTGGCTGGTGGTTTACTATGACATTTGTCCAGTGTTGCGGTAAGGACTTAGATTTCGATGAAAAAAATCATATAAATGATGATTTGTTTAAAAAAAAATGTGTACATGGTGTAAAGTAATATGTATATCACACATTTTCATTTGAGATAATGTCATATTGGAATTGAATTAACTCTTTTTATGAATGTCAACATTGAAACCACAGGTGGGACTTCAACGAAAGTGGTGTTTTGACCCATAAAATGCTTCATAAATTATATTAGATCACATTTCTTACAAATGTTTTTTTGTCAAGATGTGTATTAACACTGTATATATTTGTCAAGCATCATGTGACAAATTTGAAAATAAATCCAAAATTTCGGTGCTGGGACTGAAAAGTGCCCGTAGTTACAGAAACATGCAAACGAGGCATTAACTAATTAAACCGCTAATTTGCATACATTTGCCAAGGCACTGCAGGTGAATAGGACAAAAAAAATTTCCAAAAGATATCACCATGGAGCTCCCCCAGTTAATTGCATTAAGACAGCATTTCCCCCTTGTTTATTGTATGCTAATAGAATGTCATCAGTGAAAACAGAAACATGGTAAATACAGCCCTCCCTCAACTATGAAAGGACGAAATAGCACCTACACAGTGTGACAAAGTCCATGTCACATGCAGAAAGTTATCAGTGCAATTCCTGAAAATTGTTAGTTCACTATGTCCCAATCCCTGGTGCAGTCAGTTATTCTAAATATATACTCGGAACTAGTATAGTATAGTATAGTATAACTTTTTATGCCTTACAATGCTATGACTTTTTATGCGTTACTATACTATGACTTTTTTAAGACTTGCTTTGACGTTTTATGCCTTACTATACTATGAGGTTTTCATGCCTTTTCATACCTTATTGTACTATGATGGTTTTATGACTTTTTATGCCTTATTATACTATTGTTTTTATGACTTTTTATGCCTTACTATACGATGTTGTTTTTATGACTTTTTATGCCTTACTATACTATGTCGTTTTTATGCCTTACTATACTATGACTTTTTTAAGACTTGCTTTAACGTTCTATGCCTTACTATACTATGACTTTTTTAAGACTTGCTTTAACGTTCTATGCCTTACTATACTATGACTTTTTTAAGACTTGCTTTAACGTTCTATGCCTTACTATACTATGACTTTTTTAAGACTTGCTTTAACGTTCTATGCCTTACTATACTATGACTTTTTTAAGACTTGCTTTAACGTTCTATGCCTTACTATACTATGACTTTTTTAAGACTTGCTTTAACGTTCTATGCCTTACTATACTATGACTTTTTTAAGACTTGCTTTAACGTTCTATGCCTTACTATACTATGACTTTTTTAAGACTTGCTTTAACGTTCTATGCCTTACTATACTATGACTTTTTTAAGACTTGCTTTAACGTTCTATGCCTTACTATACTATGACTTTTTTAAGACTTGCTTTAACGTTCTATGCCTTACTATACTATGACTTTTTTAAGACTTGCTTTAACGTTCTATGCCTTACTATACTATGACTTTTTTAAGACTTGCTTTAACGTTCTATGCCTTACTATACTATGTCGATTTTATGATTTTTTATGCCTTCCTATACTATGTCGTTTTTATGCCTTACTATACACTGTCGTTTTTATGACTTTTTATACCTTACTATACTATGTCGTTTTTATGCCTTACTCTACTCCGACAATTTTAAGACTTTTTATGCCTTACTATACACTGTCGTTTTTATGACTTTTTATGCCTTACTATACTATGTCGTTTTTATGCCTTACTATACACTGTCGTTTTCATGACTTTTTATGCCTTGCTATACTATGCCGATTTTATGACTTTTTATGTCTTACTATACTATGTCGTTTTTATGCCTTACTATACACTGTCGTTTTCATGACTTTTTATGCCTTGCTATACTATGCCGATTTTATGACTTTTTATGTCTTACTATACTATGTCGTTTTTATGCCTTACTATACACTGTCGTTTTCATGACTTTTTATGCCTTGCTATACTATGCCGATTTTATGACTTTTTATGTCTTACTATACTATGTCGTTTTTATGCCTTACTATACACTGTCGTTTTCATGACTTTTTATGCCTTGCTATACTATGCCGATTTTATGACTTTTTATGTCTTACTATACTATGTCGTTTTTATGCCTTACTATACACTGTCGTTTTCATGACTTTTTATGCCTTGCTATACTATGCCGATTTTATGACTTTTTATGTCTTACTATACTATGTCGTTTTTATGCCTTACTATACACTGTCGTTTTCATGACTTTTTATGCCTTGCTATACTATGCCGATTTTATGACTTTTTATGTCTTACTATACTATGTCGTTTTTATGCCTTACTATACACTGTCGTTTTCATGACTTTTTATGCCTTGCTATACTATGCCGATTTTATGACTTTTTATGTCTTACTATACTATGTCGTTTTTATGCCTTACTATACACTGTCGTTTTCATGACTTTTTATGCCTTGCTATACTATGCCGATTTTATGACTTTTTATGTCTTACTATACTATGTCGTTTTTATGCCTTACTATACACTGTCGTTTTCATGACTTTTTATGCCTTGCTATACTATGCCGATTTTATGACTTTTTATGTCTTACTATACTATGTCGTTTTTATGCCTTACTATACACTGTCGTTTTCATGACTTTTTATGCCTTGCTATACTATGCCGATTTTATGACTTTTTATGTCTTACTATACTATGTCGTTTTTATGCCTTACTATACACTGTCGTTTTCATGACTTTTTATGCCTTGCTATACTATGCCGATTTTATGACTTTTTATGTCTTACTATACTATGTCGTTTTTATGCCTTACTATACACTGTCGTTTTCATGACTTTTTATGCCTTGCTATACTATGCCGATTTTATGACTTTTTATGTCTTACTATACTATGTCGTTTTTATGCCTTACTATACACTGTCGTTTTCATGACTTTTTATGCCTTGCTATACTATGCCGATTTTATGACTTTTTATGTCTTACTATACTATGTCGTTTTTATG